TCCGGTCCGGGTGGTTTACAAACATCCAAACCGCGAAGAGTTTGGCGGACCTTTCTGGTTGTTATGGTAGGTAGAAAGGAATGACTGGATGTGTAGGAGGAGGGTTGAACAGTAGAGGCGGTACATAAGGTGGAGTTGGAGGCAAACCGGGAAGCGAAGACCTTTGCTTTTTCGTGGGGATCACAACCAAGAGTACCAGAAGAATTGCAAATGGGTAATGAACTTGTCTGTCATCGTTATGAATCGGGTTCCTAACATGAACTGTAAGCTAATTCAGATTGTGATTTCGTTGTTCGGTACGATGCCGTCTAATACTTTTAAGCGTTAACTAACAACGAGACTCTAAAACCTATTAACTTTTATCTTGCATCTCAATAAATGTGTTCGCTTACATGTATCCCATCATTCTCTGCTTTTTCATTTTTCTGAACTCTCGCTGGTTTTTTCATTAAGCTGGATCGCACTCAGCTAAAAGAAGAACTAACGAACCGATGTTTTGCTGTACAACTGTCCAATCATTGTCGAATTCGTTTATTAACGGATATGTGAGTCCCCCCTATGAATTTCTTTGCTTCGTTTTCTCATCATCTTTTCGTATTATTCACTTGCGTCTCTGTGTGGAGCACAGTTTAGCCGTTCGTCAGTTCCAGCTTCCCCCAAAGGTACTCCGGCCTACGTACCCCGTTTGATTTTTGTGCAAACCCACCTGTGATGCAATTCCAGACCCTGGCACGTCACAAAGTACTGGACTTTGATGCCCTTTGCCCAGATCTATTTAAAGATAACAGACTGAAGCATGTCAGAAAACCGCAAGTGCTGTTCTCCAGGGTTCGGCACCGATCAGGTCCTCTCTTATGTGTGGGGGTAGATTGATCGTAGTCTCCATCTTTAGGATGTTCCCGCTCAATGTCTGTGCCAACCACCGAGATATAAACCTTATCTCAATAGCTTCAAAGCTGTTAGCGTCCTTCATTCGCAGATTGTACAATACGCTTGACGAATCGATCCGCGAAAAATCAGCTTTGTCAGTTGTGTATGCATCGATAAAATCGCTACCTCCCGACAGTTGTCGAGCATCGCCAACCTTTACAAAGATTAGTGATTATTATCATCTCAGACATCAACACAACCCTTAAATTTAATTGTAGAGCTGCACTTTGAAAATGCTTGTTGAAAAATGGAGTACTCGAAATGTACGCGTCGATTCTCGAGGTTTTATGATTAGGTTGCGAAAAGTTCAGTAGCCTCGGTGGGATTCAAACCTAAGCATGGACGCAGAGCATCCACAGGTAGTGGTAATATGTAAAGGGAACAGGGATTGGACGTATTTTGAGCAAGGAAAAAGAAAGTGAACCTCTGGTCAACACAAAGGGTACGCAATCGATTTCTGCATACATACCGTTTCAAGCATTCTGGCTTGATGAGAAATGACAACAAGAACGCCACAGTTATCGATTCGCTGCCATGTCTTTCAATTTCTCTAATCAACCGACTGCAGTCTTTTGGACCTCAACCTGGAAGGCGTGAGGCACCTCTACCTAGTGGCTCTGTTCATTTCTTTATGCCTCGTCTCCACGTCATCTGTTGACCTCCAAGGGGTTTCCTCCTGCCCGAAGCGGCCACCGCAAATGGAGTGCAGTGCGGCAGACGACAGCTGGGCATACGCAATACGTGTTCTAACCAACGAAGCCTACTGATTTGAATTCGATGAGCTAGTAGGTTTAGCCCTGACAAACTCCCAAAAACACGATGGCTCACATCCACATTACTAACCTTTTCGCTCTATCCCAGGTGGGCTAAACTACGTAACCATTGATGATCGAAAAGTTCTAGTCGATGGATATCTTCTACTCGCGAATTCAAGGTCTCCCACAACGAACAGTTGCACAATATACACTACCTTTCAACTTCAGTGAAACGTCGCATCTACGCCTAAGGTGTTACAGTCCTACGTTTGCTGCTCGAGCCTTGGAAATACGGGCGGTTATCTCCTTTACTGCACTACCGTCATTGATCATACAATAACCTAAGTAGGAAAAACAGTCTTCTATAACTAAATCCTGGCAATTTAATTTCAAAGCAGGAGTATGCGTCACTTTGCACTTTGAAGGTGCAAAGCACGTGCCGAATGTAACAACCGCACTTGTTGTTCAATTAAGTGCGCTTTGCGCGTCCTCCAAACATTTGAACGAACAGGCGATGTCATTGGCGTACTCCAAGTCGCACAGTTGTTCTCCGGCTTCCAATTCACTATCAACATTTAGTGAATTCACCAACTTCCGGAGTGATGTGATGGTGGTAGATGCCACTTGAGCATCTCCATGGTTAGCATTTAAGAGCTCTACATCATGAGGCTGTTGACATAGTACCCAGAAATTTTATCGTTAGTACCATTCATAAACTGTGTGTGCGCGCGTGTATAAAAGAGCAGGGCAATGAGTTGAAATCTGCATGTTTTCATCCTAGCATGGCGCACCACGAATTTTATTTTTTTGATATTTCCCCCTCTCTCAGATAGACTTGTTCATCAAAAGCTATGTTTTAAGTGAATCTTTAATACATTTTTCGTCTGATACAGGTATCAACAGCGTCAGAGCAAAGTGCTCTTACAGAACTTGCCATCATCTCCCGTGGTGCAACAGATTGAAGAGATGTCGGAATTCGAAGTGAGTTTGGATTATCCACGGACTCTTCCACTCCGGGAACACACAGTACTAATGTTTCGATTGTTAAAAATGGATTTCTAATTAAGATAAGGGAACACCTTACATAGGAACAACAACTAGCTTAGTCCTGATCACACATACTTTGCCCAATCTCTACGGCGGTTTTTCACAGTCCCAGATAAACCGATCGTTAAGTGCGGACACAGATCCTAAGGGTAATAATCTTTTTCCCCAGTGATTTACAATCCTGCCTGTGAAGATCGTTTAAGGATTTGGTGTAAGTGAGATGTTTTTCACGTGGTTATCTTATCGATTCAAAAGACCCTATCTTGGAAACCACGGGAGAATCAGTTGGGTTTACATTATCTTAAAGCTTCCCACTGGCTTCATACACTCCGTTGATTGTCCACCGTGTGCTAACGGTGCACACGGATTAGTCAAACTGCTTTAGACCTGGTCAAGATTGCATCCATCACATATTCACTCTGCATTCATTTTCCGAATGTGGACATTCCCTAAAGAGTCCCATCACTCTTATCCAAGGTGCTGTGAAGATGGTCATTCATTCCACAGTACCAAAACTCTACAATAGAATGATACGCAAGATTCCCACAAGGCCAGATGGAAGCTGTATTGCCCAGTGAGTTCCGCTACCAGGCTTTAGTTTTCACCAATCGTTCGCGCATCACTCTATCTTCGAATGAATGATACTCAAAATTAGGTTTCAGTTATTCGAATCCCGCGGTATTCGCCGTACCTAGTGATTGCCATTTGTTTTTTTCGTTCAGCTCACTGTTTACGACGATTAACCACGCACATTTGTTCGGCGGCTTTGGTTGCTGTCCTTAGGGTGAAGATTGGGATGTACAGAGCAGAATCCAATCGAAGATAGAGAATTCCTGTGGACTGGGTTGCTAGAATAATGATTGGGTGTACGAGCACCACCGTTTGCAACATTCAGTGTTTTTGCATCTTTTCCCATCAAGCTGTAACCACGGCCGTAGTCCTTTAGCCTCGACGCACAAACTTTGGTCATACCGTTGTAGGCGGGTTAGATCAAAGTTGTCGCCATATTCTGAGGTCACCAAATGTTGAAACATGTTATTTTCTACGATTTTTGATGTTGCAAAGCTTGTTTAAGAAATGAGGTGTGGCGGTCGCACGCCCCATCATATGTTCGTTAGTTTCAGTTTCAGCTTGTACAACCATTAACCATGTACTGTCGTGCGCCGATTTTTGTTGCTGTCTATTGGTGCCACATTTGGATAAAAGAGTAGAATAAAAATTGGAATGTGGAAAGCAAATTCAAGCGGAAGATGGAGAATTCATATAGAATAGTGATAGGAGAATAATGAGTGGA